AGGGCGGGGCGCGCCTGCACCTGGCGCTGGGGCGCGGCGCCCGGCCCGGGTACCTGAAGCGCGTCTTCCGCGTGGGGGCTCCCGCTCGCGGTCGGAAACTGGTGCTGAGCTCTAGAAAGAGGCGGGGATGGAGTTGGATGTTGCATTGCACGATGCGGAGGGCGGTTTTGGCTCACTGGTAAAGTTTTAGTGCCTCCTAAACTGGACGTACTTTTTATTTTTAACGTTTGTCTAGCTCGTGGGTGTTTGGTAACTGATGAAGTGTGCGGTGTCTTTCTCCCTCCCTCCCTCTCTCTCTTTTTCGTTTTCTTCCCCATTTGTTTGCCAGTAGCCTCAAATTTCTCCACCATGTGTGAGAATTCGGGACCCTAGATCTTAATGATGTAGATTGATAGTAGAAATTGAGATCTCCAGCTTTGGTTTGTGTGTGTGTGTTTCACCATGTTGTACCTTTTTAAAGTTAAATTTCATAGCATGCAGAACTATCTGATTGACAGAATCTTTTTAAAAGTGTATTATACGTCTGTAAATACAGGGATACTAGTTATTAGATGCTTACTAAACACTGCCAGATGTTTCATATGTACATTTGTTTCTTATAACCCAAAGAATAGGACCGTTTACCTATTCTTTACTAATCTTACAGATGAAAACATGCCTCTTGGGGTGGGGGGGTGATCACGTGGGGTTTGGTGCTTGGATCTTTGACACCTGTCAGGGCTAGTGACACATTGTTACATGTACATGTTTTGGGAAACTTCCCTGTAGTTCATAGTGCATTAGGAGTACAAAGACCTCCATTTAACTGAAAAAAGCCAAAGTTACTTCTTTCAACAAAAGTTATCAGAATCTGCATGGGTTTTGGTCATATCATTAAATCTATCTCTTTGCACAGGCTGCCAGTCTTGAGTTCTCCTTTACTAACTAAGTCATTATTTTTTCCCAATTTTATACAGGTGTAAATTCTCACCAGTTCCTGTATAATGTTTTCTCAGCTCAATAAAGACTAGTATTTCTTGAGAGTAAGAAATGATAAAAAGAGCTGATTACAGTGGTTTTTCACCCTGAAGACTGCTCAGAACCTTTTAGAAAGGAACACAGAGACCCTACTTTCAAGATCCCAGTGGTAGGAACTTCGGCTTCAAATGGGAGTTAAAATAATGCCCAGCACCACCTTTCAGAATAAGCTTAATGATATTTTATGACAGAGTTTCTATTTCATCACTAACTTAACCATTGCCAACTAATAACTAATCTTTTCACAATTGATGATAACAAGGCAAAGGGCGGATGGGTCAAAAGACTGAGAGATTTTGAGTGTCAAAAAGTGGGGTAATCACAAGTCTGGTACTTTTACCACATGTTTTGTATCTTAAATGATGAACCTCAGCGGTTTTTTTTTTTTTTTTTCAAATTTATTTTCAAAAATTTTTTTTTTTAATTTTTTTTTTTAAAGATTTA